TTATTTTCTGCATTGTTTCTTGGTTTTCCAAATTTACACCAGTTGGTCAAGTTGTGTTATATGGTCCAGTAGAATTTCTAATTTCCTCTTCCTCGCTTGCTTCCTGTTTCCTTTTTTCTTGCAGAAGGCAGTAGAGAAGAAGATCAGGTTATTCTCATATCTATGGATGTGTACCTTTATACACACTATAGGACAAAATGTATTGGGATACCTCATACAGATGCAAAATGCTGAAGGCCATTTGTATTGACTTTCCTGAGACCTTAGGTGCTTGAAATTTATAGCATGGAAAGACAGTAACAGATAAATTTGTAGTAAATAGTGAGCTGGAAGACATCTGTGGAGGTTAGCCTATTGAGTTCATTATCAGGGTATGATTTAGTGTAACTATGTATCTGACATACAGTATGGGCATACCTGCTCTAAGTAATCTATAGGGAATATCAAGCATTTTACAGGCCAGGACTGCAGAAGAATTTTGCCAGAATACCCAGGCCATCATAACAGTATTGCTTGCTGAAGCTGTCATAAAACTGTTAGTTGTCAGATATTCTTGTTTTGGAAGTAAGTGACCTTTATAAATCAAAGGACTCCTTAATTATAATTACTGCAAAAAGTGCTTTCCTCTCAAAGCACAATGCAGTTGTAACCTCATGGGGAAGAACTTTTGTCACTATCCGCCTTCTCAATACAGAGAACAAAGTCATCCAGTCAGATCCTGCCCTTCTTTCTGTGAAGCTGGGAAGATGTCACCTCATTCACGTTGCTTTGTTTCACTCCTGCCCTGACAGTATCTGGTGCTTTGCAGAATTTTGCTGTCATCCACGGTTTGTACAATGACTGGAGTGAAGATTCCCAAATTCACCTGTTTGCTGGGTGCTGGCCATGAAGGCTCATAGATCCTCCTGCAGAACAGTGAAGCGAGACAGAGGAGTAGTGCTTTGTGGCATTTTCTTTGATCTCTAAACAGCACTGTTTGACTGGCCTTGGCTTTCTGGATGGAGTAGGTTTGCACTTTCTAATGTGGCTGCACATACCAGCAAACAATATTCTTGTACATGATGTGTCTTTGCACCCTAGTGCTTCACTGGGGGCGGAGATGCTTTTAGTTGTTCTCTAGAGATTGCTGGAGAATGGGAAGATTGTGTCTATTCTTTCAAGACTCCGTCAAGACAAAATGGTCACGAAACCTGTAGGTTTGAACAGTCTGGTCTCCACAAATGCCTCCCTTAGAACATTTTGAGTTTGTGGACCCTGCTTTCTCTCATTGAAGATGTCTTTCCTCCTGGTCAAACCAATGGTCCATCAGATGAGAGAACTCCAGGCTATGGTGATCAGCTTCTCCGTTGTCTTAATATCCCCTCTGTGTTCTTCAGGCACCCTTTTATTTAATCTGCCTTTTGTGCCAAAGATCCGGTCAGCCTTTTATGTCAACCAAACAGTGACTGTGGAGGCCTTCCAGCCTTTCCTTTTGGAGTCTTCTCCATCTCTCAGTCCAGTTGATACAATACGTACAGTATGTACAGTATGATAGACATTGACATTCAGGATGTCCAGTCAGCTTTCTATGGCCAGAACAGAGACTGGACACTCTCCAAGCACCATTGAGCTCATTCAGCTATGGAGTGTTTGCATCCAGGTGGATGCTGCACATTGGTGGTGGTGGAGAGGAGTCCCCATTACCTGTAAAGCGCTTTGAGTGGAGTGTCCAGAAAACCGCTATATAAATGTAAGCAATTATTATTATTAATTATTATTATGGGGCAATAAAGTGAAGCCCCCCACCTGGTAGTAACTTGAGCCCTCCATTTTTGTTTGGTTTTGCGTGCTGAATATTATGGAGGCTTTGTGGCCTTCAGTGAGATCCAAGGTCTCATGGTCTTTTCATCTCTTTATGACCCTCCATTATTGTGACTTCTGGCTGGGTATTCAGGTTCTGGGTAAAAACTGCATTTCGTCTGAAAAGGAATATTAGGTTATCATCATAATCCTAATTCCCTGAGCAAAAATTCAGTTGATAGTCTTCTGAATGGCCTTATAATCTGCTTGGTTGGGGTGCCAGTTCTGCAAGAAAATTCTGTAAGGATGAATTACCACGTCAGCCCGGCTTCATGGGGGAAAATAGGGCAGAGCTTTGTAATATGTCAGTGTCTGATTAGATATTCTTACTATGCTTACGTAACACAGGATCAATGGCAAAAGGCACTTCCCAGGAAGTTAATAACTGCAGTTCTTTTCAGGGAACCAGGGTTATGATGGTACAGTATCTATCATCTACGGATTCCTAGGTTACCACATTCATCTGTGGAAAAACCAAACTCTGCACATTTTCCCCCATTACTTTTAGTCATATAGTGTGTATCTCATAGTATATGTACAGTATATTATATATTTGTTGCTTGGAGTTTGGCATGCCTACCTGTTTATGCAATCTGCTTACTCCTTTTGTTTTTAGTTCTGTCTTCGCAAAGAGCCCATTCAGTTTTTAAAAACTGTTGCACTCTCTGTTGAAATCAGATATAAAGTTTGCTTTACATTTCTCCTGAGAATAAATAAAAAAATCTGTGCTTATTACCAGTAAAAATAAGGTTTATTTTCTCAGTAATGGCAACAGCACATGGTCTGAGTTTTGTTTTAAATTTTAGAATTATTTTTTCTGTCCTTATTAAAATAGAGGATGATACAGTATGTCATTTTTTCTGAATAATAATTATTTGGGAAATAATAATAAAGGAGACCTTTATATGTGGTTGTAAATCATTGTACCTGAAAACTTACAAGGCCTGATGTAATGTCACCGACAAGTACACTATCTACTTTTAATGTCATGACAACTTTTATCAGAGAATAGAAGGTCATTTGAGACTTTCAGGACATACTGTTTGAAATTGCTCCAGGGGCTGCGTTCTTCTAATGCCATCAGATACTGTATCTGTATACTGTAAGGGATGTTTCCTGAACTGATAGACCAGTTGCAGTGCAGAGTGATAAATACTGTATTTCCTACTGCCAAAATGTGTTCAGCCTTTTAAACCCAAAAGACAGAGCTCTTCTTGAAATTTCACTCCCCTGATTTATGATGCTGGTATATCATACATTCTTGTACAGGATGAAGTTCCCAAGATCAACATAAATACATGTACAGTACAGGAGAAAAAAAACATTTTCTACATTATTTAGCTCAGTTTCATTGACAACAACCTCAACTTGTTTCTCTGGCTCAGTTAAATGAAGGATTGTCATTGGCTGTTATTGCTATGTGCATGAGAGACTGAGATGGCTGTATTTTACATTGTTAATGTCTTTGTGTTTTTGACATTACATGTACAATATATAGAGTACTGTATACAGCACATGTGGTCTCCAGCCCTGGTGGTAGAAGAGTTGAATCTTTTAATTTTATGAAGCAGGTGGCTGATCTACCTTGCATTCCTGCTGAGTACTTTTCTGCCCCTTACACATTTCTTATACAGTATTTCCACATTTCCCGACTTAATATTATTTATTTGTCACATGGTGTGAGATAGGCTATTGTTTACTACTTAAAGTTTAAAAGCAAAGTGAAGAGAAGGCAAACCAAAATGTTTCCATTATGAAAATTGAATCTATTCAAGTTGGAGGTTACATGTCTCTTCATGTAGCCATTGATGGATAAAAACGACTTGTTTTGGACTGTAGGGCACCCATCTCAGTGACTTTAAAGGTACCGCAGAGTCACATCTAGCTGGCTAACGTGTTCTGTATATCTGTATATACTGTACACACATGAATGAAGACAGTGCCATCACATTTCTTCACTTTCTGACATTTGTTTACGTGGTGGCGACTCATTTCTTTTCATTTCATTTTTCAGGTCTTTCCGTAAATCATGGAGTAACATTTACTGAAAGGCATTTAAATGCAATAACGGCTGATGCTTTCAGTGTTTTCAGATGCTTGCTGTTGCGTTTCTAATGCCTCTCAGTTTAGAATGCCCTTTTCTACATCTAGTGTTGTACTGGAATATTACAGGTTTCACATCATCTGAATGCAATTCTAAACATTATCGTGTTTTTCTATAAGAGATTATAATTGCCCTTTAAATTTATATTATTTATATGTATAAATTATATATTTATATAATATATAAATATAAAATAATATATATATATAATTAATACATTTATATAATTTTAAAATGATTATAATTGGTCTTTTTGTCTGCTCAACAATGGAAGTAAAGTGAGGACCTGTAGCTTCTTTGGTTCTTTCATTTGTACAGCTGGATACAGTTTATCAGTTTATGTAGAAACAATTTATGAGGTGCTTTGAGGGAGTGCTATGTGGAAACAATTTATGAGGAGAATTTCTGTTCTATGTATTTTCAGAAATCATCAATAGTAGTTTTAGAACCATTAAGATCTACTGTATAACCCATTTCTCCTGAAAGAAACTGGGTATGTAGCTGGTTATGAAACAAGAACTATGGTGAATTATTTCAATTCAAAATTGTTATAACATTTTTTTTAATTGCAGTTAATGCATCAAGTATTTAATTCTTTACCATCACAAACTCTGTATAATTATTATGTGCAGATCAGAGTGGGACTTCTAGGGGATGGGGTAATTTGTGTTGTAGAAAGCAGTCTGAGGAGAGCTACCTGCTTTGCTGTAAGCTGGACAGACTCTTTCACAGTTTGATAGAAGCCATGAATATCCACTCTTTGATGTTTACTGTGGCAGTCGTCTTATTTTTTCGGATCCTTGAGCCTTGTGTTTGGAAGTGGGAGAATTTATCTGCATGCCGTCAAAAAGTGAAGGTGAAACTTAACCAAACCGTGGCTGTCTTTCTTGTGTGTAATGTGGCTTTGTCTTTTAAAAAAGTGTAAGTTTGTTTTTTTATTTATGGATTGCAGTACCTCATTCTTATGGGTTCTTAGTATTTATCCTTCTTCTCTTTGTGCTGTACCTGTATTCCGGTTTTATCTTTGCTGTCATTTTTTCCAATTCAAACTTCATAGGGAAGAGAGGATGGTGACCCTTCAAAGCAGCCATGGATTAAGGGGGGGTGAGTTCATTTGAAATCTTGTGCGTTTGAATCTGTGTGTTGGGGTGAATTTGTCACCACTGGGTTGCAGAGTGACACAGCTCCCAGAGAAATGCTGTGAATGTTGCCACAGCTTTGCATGTCTAGCATTCATGATTACTGTGCAGATCAGCTGGAGTGGCAAATGGACTTTGAGTGTGGGATCACTGTTGCTGTATATCAAGCCTTTCCTTACTCATGAGTCTTAGTCTTATTGAGTGTAGGTCAATTACCCTCCTGTCCTTGTGTATTATTGCACTTGATTATAGTAGTAAAAAGGGAAATTAGGAGATCCTAATTTCACAGATGCCTAAATACACTCAAACATTCTTGAAATTTTGAACATCAAACATACCAACATTTGCCAGCAGCCCTATCACCCTGCAACTCACAACTGGTAACCCACTGAAGCTAAGCAGGTGTGAGCCTGGTCATTACCTGGATGGGAGACCTCCTGGGAAGAACTACGGTTGCTGCTGGAAGAGGTGTTAGTGGGGCCAGCAGGGGGCGCTCACCCTGCGGTCCATGTGGGTCCTGATGCCCCAGTATAGTGACGGGGACACTATACTGTATACAGGCGCCGTCCTTCGGATGAGATGTAAAACCGAGGTCCTGACTCTCTGTGGTCATTAAAAATCCCAGGGCGTTTCTCGAAAAGAGTAGGGGTGTAATCCGGCGTCCTGGCCAAATTTCCCATTAGCCCTCACCAATCATGGCCTCCTAATAATCCCCATCTATGAATTGGCTACATCACTCTGTTCTCCTCCCCACTGATAGCTGATGTGTGGTGAGCGTTGTGGCGCACTATGGCTGCCGTCGCATCATCCAGGTGGATGCTGCACATTGGTGGTGGTGGAGGGGAGTCCCCACTACCTGTAAAGCACTTTGAGTGGAATGTCCAGAAAAAGCGCTATATAAGTGTAAGGAATTATTATTATAATGATACAGAGGTGTAACTAGGCAAAGAATTAGATGCTTTTAAGAGGTGCTTAGTGTCATCTTACTGGCTACCTTTTGTTCACAGACCTGGAGGAGGCCTCTTTGGTATCGACAGCATGCCTGACCTGCGCAAAAAGAAGCCCATCCCCCTTGTCAGCGACCTGGTGAGTCCCCGATCTGAGTTCAGGGTGTTGAGCTGTAGCAGGGCAGGGATCAGATCTGTAGTGTCTTCTCTAGCATTGACCAGTAGTTCACAAAGATTTTCAGGGTCAAAATCTGAAAGACTTTCTGGGATTTGTGTCACTCAAACTCACAAGATGCATCTTTTTTCCGTGTTAGTTTGGAGTTTAGAATGCGGAGTTGTTGTGCGTATCTTCTCGTATAGATTTAGAATGAACTATTGTTTTTTTATTCTGTTTCACACTCTAATATTTACAATAGCTAATTAGCCATATGCAGCCATATTCCCAGGGAAGATGAAGCTAAAACGTGTATCTGCTGGATCGCAACATAATGATACCATCCATATCACTTCACACAGTGATCCACGATTAAATGGCTTTTAGCCACAGCTGGATCTGAATTAATGAATCCAGACTCTTGAGCCTGTTCTTGAATTATACTAGTTAATTTTTTTTATCAAAGGCTTATCATTGCTTATTTTACAGTTGTTCAGTATATTATGTCTGGCTTAAGAGACAGGGAGAATTGCAACATAATTCTAAGTTAAGCATTAAGTCCAAGTAGGATGGTATAAGCTGCTGCATTTCTAAGATCTTGAATGATAGAAAAAAAGTGTGTCCTGTTTTTTCTGGTGATTACAAATTATTCTGCACTGTACACAGTAATAATATGTAAGGGTTAAATACAGCTGTTTATACGTTTTAACCGCTATAGAGAAGGTTAAACGTGTGATTTCGTCTAGGAAAACAGCTGTTTACTATCTTTTTAAAGCACTCAGCTGTCCGGGAGTGCTTCCACTACAGAAGTGCCAACCTGATAGTTGATTAGGTGACTAGCTCAGGCAAAGTCAGCTGACATGCTTGCTTGCCTTATAGCAGGTAGCCCCTTGCCTGATCAGGCACTTACAACAGACAGACCTCCTGTCTGCTTTAGGCTACAATGGAAAGAGGCTGTCGACTCAGTGCTGTGTCTCAGAGGATGGTGTTTATTAATTTGCCTATGGTAGTGTGGAGAAGTGCAGTCTGTATTCTATATTGATATGTACATTGCAAAAAGAGAACTGGTGGCTCTAAATTTAACTGAAAGGAGGATGCCTAATGTTTTTTTATTCAAACTTAAATGTGTTTTTGTAAACAAATTAACATCTCCCACCAAGCTTTTCCCCCCTATACTTCAGGCTTATCCGTATTTTTCTTACAATATGTAATCATGAAATCTTTTTTTCAAAAACAGGAGTTTAAAGCAGATAATTCAGTTCATCCCAGGTGTGTCTGTTTTAAAGGACTCTGAGGCCTTTGGTAGTATTATATTTAAAGTGATCTGAAGTAGATTCTGGAAAGGTTAAAATACTTCAGAGGTCAATTCAGTCCATCCGCAAAAGCCGTGCCTTCCCCTGCTGCATAAATATTTCAAATTAACCCTGTACAATTTTTTTTGTATGCAACCATTCTCCTTGTTAAGGCTATGGTAAGTGCAACTATAAAATTCACCCTCCCCCATTAACAACGACCTTTTATTATTACTGTTATTATTTTACTCTCCAGTTCCTCTCCTCACTTTGTTCCCCATAGTTCCACATTTTCTTTGGTTGGTAGTTATTGTTTCCCATCACGATGCATGCAGAAGCATGTCACGCCATCACTCACGCACTGGGGGCGGGGGTTGTGAAAGGCCAGACCAGGGTGGTGGGTCGAAATGAGACATGGGGGAGGGGGTTAACATTGGCCTCACAGCACAGTGTCTTTCACAAGCTCCAGTGGTCAGTGATGGACTAAGTCTCCTCTTCTATAATATGAAACTAAGTATTTGAAGTATTTGAAGACTCTTGAAGTAAAGTCGTGAATCCTAGTTTTTAAAATTAAATAAACCTACTTTAACCTGTGATATTCTCGGCAATGACAGTTATTACGTGATTCATGACTTAACTGCCAGTGTCCTACACTAACAGTGCAGATCAAACAGTAGAGCGCACAGGTCTGTACCTGGAGGGCTACAGTCTGCCTCCTCTTAAAGGGTTCTTTTATATACCCACTTGCTGAAAAGGTGAAAAATGAATAAATCATTTTAAATTGACGTGTCATATCTGGGATTTTGAGTACAAAGTGGACAGAAATAATGTGATCCAGCTAATAAACGTGTCAGATTTGATGCTGTGTAAGAACACTGCTCAGTATTGTACATGTGCCCTCTGCTGATTGTATAGTTTCAGAGTAAATGAGGTCTTCAGGAGTAGTTGCAAAGGCTGATTCTACAGTGTCTTGGGGTGATGGGAGTCCCCACAGGGTGACAGTATATTGATTTAATAGTTTACCTTTCTGCTGAAGTTGCAGGATCAAAATTTACATTCGAAACTTCGTTCCGGTTGTGGATAGTGTATTACATCAGTCAGCCTGATTTCTCACTCTATACATATGATTACAGCTGGTATTGGTATTGGTGAGCTGTGAATTAGTTGGATTCTTATCATTTTTCGTTCTGATTAATGAACACTGATTGATGTCAATGTATTTCATTTCTTTTAATCAATCTGGAAAACAATTAATTTATTAAATTTATATACAGTGCCTTGCAAAAGTATTCACCCCCCTTGGACTTTTTCACATTTTATGAGTTACAGCATGGACATGGAACCATGACGTATTTAACTGAGACGTTTTGCCACTCGTCAACACAAAGTACTCTAGAATGTCAAAGTGAAAAAAAATCCAGACATTTTGATAAACTAATTCAAAATAAAAAAAACTGAAAATAATTGAATGCATACGTATTCACCCCCTTGCTTTAACACACCTAAATTACCTCTGAAGTAAGAACTCTCTTCTCCAAGTCACATAATTACTTGACTGGAGTCCACCTGTGTGCAGTTGACATGCAAGTATACAGATATTACTGTATATATATAGTACAGATATACATGTACTGTACTATAGATTACTGTGTTTTATTTATAATGGACTTTACTATGCTTTGAGGGATATTCAGTGGCCCAGAAATTTACTTACTGTATAACCTTCCTCTGATTGGTGCTTTTTAATAACCCTATCCTGGATTTTGTCTTCATGTTATAGTTTTTGTTGGGAGCTGTACTAATCAACTATGGGATCTCCCATACATACAGTACAGTACGTGTATTTAACCTGAACACATGTGAAACACATTATTTTCATACTGGTGGACTCTATTCAACTAGTAATGTGAGTTCTAAAGACTACTGATAGCTCTAGAGCCTCAGTACTGCTTATCATAGCAATGGGAGTGAATACATACTGTAGTTACTGTAGTTATTTTCTGTTTTATATTTATAATTAATATAGGAGGATCTGTAAAATTGTGTTTTCACTTTGACTTTATATAGTGTTTCGTGTCAATCAGTGACAAAAATCCCAATTAAATAATATATTTTGTTTCTACATTGTAACAATGAAATATGAAATAGTCCAGGGCAGGGGTGAATACTTTTGATACCATCTGTTTAAATAATGCTTTAATAATTCAGAGGTATTATCTGAATACACTGTCATCCTGTAGGACTTATATGGTGACTTAAAATATCTGAGTGTAGTTATCCAGAATAAATTATCCAGTTAATGGATTGTGATATGTAAATTACTCTCTGTAAAGTGCATATCTGCTTTTAAAAGGCAGAGATGTTAACAGAATGTGCATAGAGTAACTGCATGGCTGTATACATTTTACAAAACTGTTTATCCCTAAAGTATTTTAAATGTGTGATTAATTTATCATGCCAATAAAGAAGACTAATCACAGTGTTTATAAATGGTTTACAGTAAGTGTCTGGAAAAAAAAACTGTAGAATATTAACTGTAGAATATGAAATGGTATTTGAAGCAGTATAGAATGGAAAAGGCAGAGGGGATGTTAACTGAACATGAAATGGTATTTGAATACTTTTATTAAAACTGAAACAGGCCAATAAGTGTGCAGTTTGATTGTTTCATTGAGTCTGACATATATCAAGGATTGTTTTATTTCAGTTCAAATGTTACTTGACAGTTGATTAGCTAGGTTATTAATACATATATAGTACATTTTTAATATCTATATACTGTAAATGTTTTTTTCTGCATTTCCAATATTTTTGTCAGTAAAACCTAATTTACAGTGCTCTTTAATCCCATTTATCAGTTCAAAAAAACACCTGTAAGGGTTTTGACTGATGAGAAAAATTAGACATTTTGAGACATTAATTAATATAATGCTTCAGTTTTTAGGGATTGGAGCCCTAAAAACTCTCACAGACCACTCTTCATAACCCCCACTATCTGCTGTTAAAAGCTGTCTGAGTTAAATTAGTACAAATGATCTATTGACATAGATCTGTAACCCCGAGCGGGAGGGCCAGAAGTGGTCACAGGAATGACTTATTGCCCTCTTGTTGTTGCAGTAGATAGGGCTGAGGGTGACAGCCCGAGCCCTGCAGAAAAGCAATAGTTCAGTTATTAATTATGACCTCAGTTCCACACCATTTTGTGGTATGCTTCTTCCTATTACTGTCAATTTTATTCTTCTGCTACTTGAAAGATTAGCCTTACAGCACACAAGTCTAATTAAGAATTCCAAAGGTTCTACAGCCTTCTGAAATGCCCATTCTTATGCTGTTAAGTAAATTGTTAGTAATTTACTGTAGGTCGAAACTAATCTTAAGGGTAGACTTCAATTAAGCTTTTGGGGTCTGACTAGGCCACAGGGCAGGATATAGCCATGTTGGACAGAAGGGTATAACCGGCTCATGAGTTTCTTTGTGCTATGGTTGTAAATGGCTGTTTTGCCGGTTTGTTTTTTATGGTATGCAGTCCCTGGTGCAGTCAAGGAAGGCTGGGATTACCTCCGCCATGGCCACACGCACTTCACTCAAGGATGAGGAGCTTGTGAGTATATACAGTACCCATAGTAGATAAAAATTATGTGTTTTCAGGCTGAACTATTGTCCAGTCCAGTCGCCCTTTAGTGACCACACCAGAGCAGGACCGACACATCAGACTGGTCCATCTGAGAGATGGTTTCAGATCTGCCACCCGTACTGCTGCTGAAACTGCAGGCAGACACAATGCCCGCATCAGTGACAGGACAGTGAGGCTCCATGCCGCTGACCTTAGAGCAAGGCGACCTGTCAGAGGCCTTCTGCTCACACCTCCTAGACATCACACCCGACTGGCTTGGGCCAGACAGAGGCTGCGATGGACTCGTCAGCAGTGGCATCAGGTCCTCTTCACGGATGAGTCACTCTTCAGCCTGTCCCACGCAGACAGGAGGGCCAGAGTGAGCAGGAGGAGGTGTGGAGGAGGAGAATATTTGTATGGGTAATACTGGCCTACAGGTCAGTTAATAAATTATTCTGCAACAAAATCACTGATTATTTGGCCATAGAAGAAATTCATGGTGGTTTCCTGTAACAGGAATGTTTCACAAATCGAGAGGTACTTTTCCCAAGGTGGGCCTGGACACGGTACTGATTAATTGTGGCTCATGATCCGGGAATAAAAAATGAGCGAAACTCCTTGCTGAGTTTATGCCACTTTCTGGCTTTTCCCTCCTACAGAAGAACCACGTTTACAAGAAGACCCTGCAGGCTCTGATCTACCCCATCTCCTGCACCACGCCACACAACTTCGAGGTGTGGACGGCCACCACGCCCACCTACTGCTACGAGTGCGAGGGGCTGCTGTGGGGCATCGCGCGGCAGGGCATGCGCTGCACGGAGTGCGGGGTGAAGTGCCACGAGAAGTGCCAGGACCTGCTCAACGCCGACTGCCTGCAGCGTAAGTCCGGCCCCTGCTGTCTGGGGCGGTGGGCGCGCAGCCTTGTCAGGTCTCTGTCCGAGACCGCCTGAGCCGACCTGCCCGCAGCCGCCCGGACGGTCACGGCGGTTCGTCTCATGGTAGCTCTGTCGTTTCCACTAATTGTAGCCGAAGGCTCAAGTCCTCCCGTCTTCGTGTTGAGTGAAGGCATGTCTCTGCTTTTCCATGAAACACTTTAGGCATCCGTGTGCTGTTTTCCTTTTGGGCTTTTGTGAGATAAAAAAGACTCTTGTTTTACAATAAATAAACCTCTGGTTCTAGAATCGTTTTTATGACTGTATTTTTAAAATAATTCCCTAAGTTTCCTAAAATACCAGCTGCAAAATCTAGCTGATTTTGTATTGGTTCTTATTTCTTTATGCTAAAAATATTTTGATGTCTAGTCAGTCTTCATCAGAATAAAATATGACGTGTTGTTAATTGGCTTTCTGTATATACTGTATTAAAATAAGTGATCCTGAACAGAATAACCTTGATACAGTCATTCAGAGCATTCCTTGGTCAATATACAGTATGTATGCAGTCATGTTCTATATACATTTCTAATTTTTCTGCTAATCTGCTTTGTGCAAATGGATCAGTGGATTTTTACCAATCTGGTGCTATTCCATATTAGGATAGACATGATACCCTAATCAGTTTATTGAAGCTTAGTCTAGCAGTTCTTTGGCATTCAAAAATAGCCTTTATAAACTGGAAAAATTTATTTCTAATAGTTAAAAACAATGTAGGTTAAACTACCAATTCCACAGATTTTAAAACATGTTTAGTACATTTTCCTTTATTTAGTAAATTTGCACTTTGCAATCTATGTTGGAGAATTGAATACTAAATAATTACAAAAGGTAAAATATTTTACTCAACATATCGTTGCCCAAAGTAACATCCAATAAAATCTCTTTCATTAGATTTTGTAATTGCTGAAAATTCTGATACTGTTATCCAGGGTCCTGTTCACAAATACTTCCAGCAATGTTTTTCACACTGTCCACTTCACCTACAGTATAGTATATTTATAGAGTTTCCACCTTGTCACGGGGTTTTCATTGGGAGGGTCCTACACATTTTGAAGGACATTATTAAGTTTAGGCAGTGCTAAAGAGAGTGTGGATAAATTAGTGGAAAATAGAGACCAGGGAATGAGTTCCTGTGAAATGTCACTGTTTGTCCCATTTTTCAGTTCTAAAGAACTGGCCCCAAGAGTGCTCAGAGAGATTGTTTGATATACATCTATACTCCAGTAGAATTTCACAATACAGAGTATTGCAAGTCTATATTATTTTGTTTTCATTTAAAACTGTTTTTTAAAAAAGAAAATACAATTTTTCTCATGTGAATGGTCATAAAGGGCATCACTGAAAATAAATGTAGTTTAACCTTAATATTGCAAGCTTTATTTATTTAGCTACAGTAACCGGTCCCCAAATTTTTTTTTTATGAGGGGGGTAATATGTACTCCAGGGCATGTCCTAAAATCTAGCCTGTCTCCACCCCTCTGCCCGATCCCACTTGGCAGGAGCGGCGGAGAAAAGCTCGAAACACGGCGCGGAGGACCGCACCCAGAATATCATCATGGCCATGAAGGACCGCATGAAGATCCGCGAGCGCAACAAGCCCGAGATCTTCGATGTCATCCGGGATGTGTTCGCCATTAGCAAAGTGGCGCATGCCCAGCAAATGAAAACCATCAAGCAGAGCGTGCTCGACGGCACCTCCAAGTGGTCGGCCAAGATCACTATCACGGGTAAGACTGGTCAAAGACGCCCCCTTGTGGAGCAGGACAGGACCGACAGTAGTGGACCACTTTCTGCACCCTGCCGTTCTGTGCGTTGGTACCTCTGCTGGCTGTTGGACAGCCAGAATTTCTCTGTTTTGCATTTCTCTGGCTAGCCAACAATCCCGTCTTGCTGAGTTTTCAAGAAGACACCCTTTAATGAGTATACTTGTGCTTTTCATGGAGAAACTGACCTGAGTCGTATGCACTTATAACTGGCAATCATATTACTCTTTCTGTCCTGTTCTTGGAATGAGATACAGCACAGATATCACTTCATTCATAATAATAATACATTGCTTTTTAGGGACACAGTTTTTTACTGGTAATGGGGACTCACCTCCATCACCACCAATGTGTAGCACCCATTTGGATGATGTGACAGCAGCCAAAGTGCATCAACACCCTCACCACACATCAACTTGTCAGTGTGGAGGAGGACAGAGGATAGGGTTATTATTATAATGGACGGTTTCAGGTGCTTCAATAATATTTAGTTATTTGCAGGCCAAATAGCACTGCTGCCTCATAGCTCTTGGGTCCTGGGTTCAAGTGGAGTATTCATCTTGTATGTGTCCTTCAGATTTTTCTCTGGGTGCTCATTTTTCTCCCCTCCTCCCAGAGGCATGCTGGGTAGGATGATTGACATCTCTAAATTGTCCCTGATCACGTGTCCTGCAATGGACTGGCATCCCATCTGGGATCACGTCTATGGTGTAATCCTGCCTTGCTCCCTGTTTTTCCTTAGTTTAGGATAGGCTCTGTGTTGCTGCTACCCTTGGCTTTCAGATACTGAATAGATGGAGGTATTGAAGTTTTTCTCTGTATATTTGCATTGATGTTTTCAAAGCTGTTCTTGATTCAAATTATCCACTAATACAGTACATTCTAAAGCCCAGAGAACCAAGTTTAATTTTGTCCATCTTTTTAATTACTGAAACTGAGAAAGAAGATGAAATCTTGGTGGGAAAAAACAGAAGAGACCATGACCCTTCAGGAACTGATCTTTAAAAGTGATATTTAAGAATGTTCAAAACTGAACATTTTTAATGAATACTTAAAACTGACCTAAGCTGTCCATTATGAATGCTTTGATCAGTTATGTACCAAATAGAAAATCTCTAAACTTTGTGTTGAATTGCTCAAGAAACACTGTGGTGATATTTTAAATATGTAGTTTATCTTCTGTTGACATCTCATTTAAATTGTGTGTATTCCAGAGATTTCAGAGTAAGCAAACACTGCATTTTTTGAAAGCTAACCATATGCCTGTTATGCCGTCTGTCACTGTAAACTGAAAGCATCATGAAGGAGTTGCTGAGAAACAGCTGGTATTGCAAACAGTGGTTACCTGCTCAAGAGTAACCCCAGGGCTGAAAAGATGTCTCTTTCTAACACGGACATGTGCTTATAGTAATTGCACCATAATGGGAATCTGTTCAATTAAATATGGGGTGGCATCATTTTTTCTTTAGAATTACTAAAACAAAATACCTGACAATTCAATCTGTTCAGAGCACGTTTTGCTACGGTTTGTAAAATGCTAATTGGTCTCTGTGGAAGCCAGCCTTCAAAGTTTGATATTCATTGCTATGGAATATATATATCTATATACTGTATTTATGAATGAATGAAGTGCTTAGATCTTTCGGGACAAAGATATCTGGGTCATATAACAAATTCTCACAAAAAGCATACCATTTAAGCTGCTTGACATCGTTATAATTCTCAGGATTTTATATTAAGTTAGGACATTATGTTTTTATCAGAAAAGCCTTCTTTCCTCAGTCACTCCCAGAATTGCCTACAGGGCGGAACTAAAAGGTCTTTGCTTTTATCTTTAGTATTGTAATTGGTTATTTTGTCAGATGACTGGATCATCATATAAACAGATATTCAAAAGAAGCTGGTTAATTATGAAATGGATTAAAGTATTTTTGGTCTCCAAAGCAGTCTATCATGGTGATTTGAATCATTTTTGCTTCCTTGAAAGGGATTTTATTTATATTTTATCCGAAAAATGCAGATGGTTAGTAAAATGAACCATCTTATGTATTTATATAGTAGTACACCGATACTGGTGTTAATATTCACAAAACCCTAAGACTATAAAAGCTTCACAGAGGGTCCATTTTTTTGTCGGGAATTACAGAGCATGCTAAAATAAATTAAATAAATATGCCATATTTTCATCCATAGCTTACAGACTGAAGATAAATTACTCCAGTGTCACAGAACACTTCTGCACTTTTTTACAGCATGGGGTTTGTGAAAACTGTCTTCCCTTTTCTGCTGCGATCAGTGCACTTGGAGACTCTGTTTTAGCCCTACTTTTGTCTGTCTGCAGTGGTGTGTGCCCAGGGCTTGCAAGCCAAGGACAAGACGGGCTCTAGTGATCCTTACGTCACTGTGCAGGTGGGAAAAACCAAGAAGAGAACCAAAACCATCTATGGCAACCTCAACCCCATCTGGGAGGAGAAGTTCCACTTGTGAGTCCTTTTTTTTTTCTTTTTATTTGGGGACTCTTTGAACGGTTACCTGATGTCTTTTCAGAAAAGGTCACTCCCCGTACCCAATGTAAGGTGTCACAGCTGGTGCCACTTCATTTGTGGGTGTATATTAGATATGTAGATTTTATTATTTGAGGAGAAAAAGCTCTTGCTGTGCTGCCAGTGTACTCCAGCATTATTATCTGGTCAAGGTACCATGCAGGGAGAAGCACAGACTGCACCTATTGCTTTGTCAAAATGCACACACCCTTTAAATATCCTTAAAAGTACTGCATATTCTGAAACAGTTGTGTGCACACCGTTTATTCAGATACACCCCACGAAGGCACAGTCGTCATGTCACAGAGGACACAAAGCTCACATTGCTGAGCTTGTCACCCAGAGTTCATACTGTATGCCTTCCATGCACTGACAGGGCTGAGCCTGGAGACCAGCAAGGACTAGTGAATGTAAACAGGTTTTGTTGAGTTTCTAAATGTCTAAATACTGTCATTATTTTATTTCCAGCTACTACTTCTAAACAAATACACCTTATGGAAACTGTAATTAATTTCTCTCTCTCTTTGTATGGGAAAAGGTGTCAGCACAAATAATCAAATAATCATGATATTAACTGCCAGGACTGTTCGTGAGCTGTGCTGAAGGAGAACCCATTTCAAGCAAAAGCTTATTATACTCCTCTTAAATTGAAATTTTAAGTTTGTTTACAGCTTGAAGGAGAAACCAAGGTGAGGCAAGGAGATGCACAGCCTTTGTTTAGGAAAATAATTTAATCTCTGGCGTGGAACAAAAGGACTTACTTTGTTCTCATAATTGTAATGCTTAGAAAAAGGAAACAGCAACAACAACTATCATTTTTCTCTATAATTAGGCCAGTGTTTCTGTATGCATGATAAAGAGATTGACATTTTTTAACTTAAGTCATGAAGTTACATCTACAGCTCCCACCCTTCCTCCTGCCTCTATAATAACGTTTGCTATCAGTGTTAGTGTTATGGTTTGCAGTAGCAGGAGTGGAGGGGTATTAGAGCCTTTGATGACATGCAGTGATGTCTCTCTTCATAGTGAGTGTCACAACTCATCAGACCGGATCAAAGTGAGGGTGTGGGATGAAGATGACGACATCAAATCCCGAGTGAAGCAGCGCCTAAAACGAGAGTCGGATGACTTCCTGGGCCAGACCATCATCGAAGTCCGCACGCTGAGCGGGGAGATGGATGTCTGGTACAATCTAGGTCAGCACTTTCCACCTGGCATTGACTCCTGTTGTCTTGAAAATGCTTGTGCAATAGTCTGTGCCTTGCAAAACAGTTATGGCACTTTGAAGTAGCAATTATAGTAGTATTTATTGTATACTCAACCTCCTCCACACAGCAAAGCAAAAAAAGAAAAAGAACGAAGTACTGTACATAGGCCGTTAATATGAAGGAAACATGGAAAAGTCGTCATTGCGCAAGTATTCAAACCCGTTCCTGTGCTGAATCTAAATTAATTAAAATTACTTTAACGAGCCACACAAGTAGTTGAGTGTCCTCTGTCTGTGTGCAGTAAGAGTGCTTCACACGAATTCTGAATAAATACACTTGTATCTGTGAGGTCCCTCGGTCACCTAGTGAAATGCAAGCCAAGATTCAGCCATGAAGATCAACAAGCTGTTTGAAACAATTCAGGAATAAAGGAATGCCATCTAAACAATGGAAAGAGTTGCAGAGTTCAGTGGCTCGAATCAGAGAACAGTATCATTGTGCTTTCACAAAGGAGCATCATATATAACTGAGTAAAAACATCTCAATTCCAGCATGGTGTTTACAATAAGGGATATTGCAAACACGTGGAAATGTGATTTTGTGATCAAACGACAAAATTGGAACCTTTTGATGGAAATGACAATTCCCAAATAGTCTATCACTCAGTCAACACTATCCCAAACGTGGTGGGACAGTAGCAGCATTATGTTATAATTCAGCAGGAATAAAAAAAAAAACATGTGAAGACTGATAGGAACAGATGGAGCAAAATAGTGGCAAATTTGAGAGAAACCTGCTTCAGGCCTAAAACTGGGAAAAAATAACCTTTCAGCAGGACACAGCTCAGGGCTACGGTGGAGTGCATTAAGAATAAGAAAGTAAATTCAAAGAAAACAAACTTCTTGAAGGCAGTGCTACTGTGGAGTTACAGCTTACAGCTGTTTTTTTTCTCAAAAGAAGAAATACTTAAAAGAATAAAGGCTACATCTAGAATAAGCACTAAAGCTAAAAATTAAAAATCATTTAAATTAAAAAAATTAAATGTCTATCCTGGTCCTAGAGAACCCTACAATATGTCTGCTGATTTTTGTCCCAAATAAGCCATTTCTCGGTCAGTGATCTTCTTATTTTTTTCAGCACTTGGTTCTTGGTTTAAACAATATTTATGCAGCTTGCTAACTAACACTTTCTGGCCTTATTTCTGGCTAGATAGCTCTTAATGAGTGATCAGTTGTTGATGAACAGACACAGGTGGCATGGACACTGTATCATGCACTCCCAATGTGAGTCAGACTTTCCTGCTGCTTATGTTCAATTGGTTATATTTCAGCCTGCACTCCAGGATAAAGTGCAGTCCTGAAACTCACTACCACAAGATCATACCAATTACAAATCGCATTGATCCTTTGAAAAGCTAAAGAGCTGAAAGCAAATTTAAAAGGGCTTGAAAAAGAAAACAGTACAGTTGATTAAGGGCCTGGTCAGAACAAGCCCCAGTCACTAAAAAAAAACTGGAAGTAAGTGTTATGGAAACAATAAATAGCCATTGAGGTTTTCTACTCTGTGAGGGAGCAGTTCTAGAAAAAAAATATGAGGTTTTCATAGTTGTAATCTTGAAGGTTAGGTGGTACTAGTGCTCAAGTTGAAGATGTATGAGAAATAAAAATATATACTTTTAAAGGAATAACACCATTCCTTTCAGAAAAATGCCTTAAGCATACCTTAGGAAAGGTATCTTGTACTGTAGGTGTTTGGTGTCTCTATATGATCATGACACTAGACCTAATGCTAACTTTGTAATATCTCTGCACTATCCACTTTTGACTTGGACTACCATGTTTTTTAAACACTTACTGTGCATGTCCTGAGAGATTGAGGTGAATAAGAATTCCAATGTACATGTACAGTATATATCTCCATAAACTCCTCTACCTCTAATGTTAACTGAAACAGAAGAAAAAAAAGGCTATGAACAACTTAAATGTTTTTGCCAACTGGAGTTTGCTCTCTATTTTGTAGTCCTACATTGAAAAAAGTTTTACAGCAGTGATGGGGAACAGCCTCACCATAAATCACTCCTACATGTGGGAGAACGGAGGTTTTTATCAGTTGCAGACAGAGTTCGCCTTTCATTCAGACGTTAAAGCTGCATTTCCTTGATAGGTGGAATTCTGTTTAATTGCTGCCAGGAGACAGGGAGAAAGGGACTGGTAGCCTACTGTAGGTATACCTCTGTTCCTGAGTGCTTTTAAAAGTCCCATAGATATCTGACTGTCCTGAGATGAAAGGAGGGTAGTGGACCACAAATCCTATCCCCGTTATGACACATTAAGATGCAGGTGCCAAAGTCAATGGGGTTTCTTTCATAACCACAGTCAGCCTCAAGAGACATGGAAGGACAGGGGGTATCACTCATTATGCAGATATTGTAGAACAAATCCGCCATTATTTCATGATGCTTTATTTCATTAATGCTCCAAGAGGGCTTACAGCTCTCATAAACCATTAGAATGATCTAGTAATCTGTGAATCAGATTTTCACAGTTAATGTTGGATGGTATTTCTAACCTTAAATATAAAAATAGCCTTAGCATTGCAACTCAGTCCGTAGTGTACTCTACATCTTTCCGTGGAATGAATAGCTACTGTACATCCTCTGTGCAGTGTTTTCTGTTGTCTGTTGAACTTATTCATCTTCCCAGCAGTCTCTTCAGGTCTTGTCCCTTTTAAACGAAAGCGTATTGGTTGTTCTGAGATCACTGTCCTTCCTCGTCCTCTCTATCTTTCCCTTTCTCCTTGCCTCGCTCTCCACGTTTTTTTTTTCTTGCTGGTTGCTGTCGTTCATTGGCCCTTGGGCTCCTGGAATGAGATTTTCTCTTTAGTTTCACCCTTTAGTTTCACAGAAGAAAAGAAGCCTTTAGATTAATTTATTTTGAATTGTTTCTCTGAACAGTAAAATCCTTGTGGGAAATGTATTTGATAAAGTATGTGCCCTCCTTGATCTGTACCCTTTAAAGATCAATTTTAGAATGATTAGTTTTACAATTCTGGAGATGTTGTTTGAAATATAATGACTTTATAAGGCCATGGATGTAAAGTGAATATTTGTTTTATTTTTAAATGAATAAAGGCAGGTATTTGGATATGGTTTTCTTTGAGCTTACCATCTAGATCAAAAGCTTAGCCAGACCAAATGGCAGTGGGATTTGTTTGATTTGTTAAGCGTTAACTTAAATGATAAAATAAATAAAATAAACTTAAAAACATTTAGGCTGCCAGCACATTTAAGTAACTGTGAAATCAGTCTAGGCCACTTTTTTTTCTTCTTATGATGTACAGTTCTCCGGCAGAACATACTGTATGTTCTACTAGCTTGTCCATGCCATGAACCGAAGGCCGAAGCCTGACTGACCGGGCTTCCCAGTTGGCTGTGGCTGCACAGCCACATGATGGTCAGTCCAGAGACTGAGCCGGTCGTTCGCCCTTGGATCCCATTACACTACTTGAATTCTCAAGAAGGCTTTGGGGGCCTTGAGTTCTCCAGTGAAGGGTGGAGATGGAGGTCAGCCTTCTCTTGTAACGGAATTCACTGCCTTGTGACTTGAGGCAGGCAAAAAAGAAAAGCCCTGGGCAGGGAAGGAGGATGAAGAGGCAGAAGGAAGACAAACGCAGATTGAACTGGAGTAATGTCTTTGACACTTTCCCAAGAAAGATTCTTTTTTCTTCTTATGTACATTAAAAAAGCTGAAGATGAATGGATTCCAGATCCAGGATTGTACCATAGCTATCTCAACTCTGATTTCTGTAGTGTTAATCTTACTAACTAAGAGTATGTTACTCTTCCCTGGATAGAAAACTGGTCTATTGCTGGCATTACGCTCCAGCAAAGATGGACCCTGCTGATACAGGAATGGAGCAACTGGGGCAAAGTACCTCACCAAGAATACAACAGCCGTGTCTGCAGCAAGGATTAAAAATAGATCTGCACAGTCCCAAATTCTGAGACCAGTTATTAATTCTTGGTAACAAAATAAAGTAATTGATGGTCTAGAAAAAATGTTCAGATTCCAAATTAAGCACAAAATCCTGAATTTTGTGAAAATACTGTATAGTCGCCATATTGTCACAAACTCCTGACACAGGCGAGAGTTTGCAAGAATTGTGATGTGAAGTGGCCCTTCCTGCTCACTAGTCACTGTCATGGCTAATGTACGAGCAAGTCAGTACAGGTTGTGCAGCAGGCATTTCACCGCAGAAATGTCCCGATGTGATCTGCATCCAGGGTTAACAAGTAAGTAGTGTTTGTCGGCAAGACCGTCTCGGAAGTCGAGAGCAATATTTCTGTTGGATTATTCAGAAACCTGCTTGTTTACAATGAAATAGGGCCGCTTCACGTTACCGGAAGTTTGGTTGACATGTTCTGAATCTCAGAATGTGGTGCTGCGCATGCATGGAAATTTAGCCGATTTTGTGATGTAAATTGAAAGTTTTACACGTTACTGTCTACATGCACTCATCGCTGCCCATTCTTTCTAACCCCAAAATATAAAAATAGTGTTTCAGTTCCCTTTTAAACCCACAGACTGTCAATCATTGCTGTGCTGGCCCCTAACTGTTAAACTGCAATTAAAAACATTCATTGTTTTATAGGAAACTTGAGGTGTCTTTGAACAATGTAGCAGCATATCCCTAGAGAGCTTCATGGAGAGCAAAAGACTTATTAATATATCACATTATTTTATGTGCATCTAAAAGATTTCAAATGTATAATTGGAGGTATTGTAATTCCTCTTGCTAAGTGTGCTTAATTAGCTTTATTCCTCCTGCCAACACGTCTGACCAAAATTTATTTTGAAATAGCTGTCTCTTTTCAGTGCCAGTTTCACTCCTCTCAGGATTTGCCTTTTGTAACGGTTAACCGTGTCTGAATAAAAAATCAGCTCCTCTACTAGCACATCCAAGTTTCCATAACATTTCTGAACATAAAACTGCATGGAGGAACTGATTTGTGGTAGAGCAGAACCAGCAGGGTCTCAGGAGAGCCCTTGGGGGCATGAATTATGTAAAACAATGTTATTTTATTTTAATAGACCTTTATGCCAACTGGGATTATATATCTATCTCAGTGGCCGCTGAAACTGCCACAGAAGCTGGATTGATTTTTTGCAGATTCCAGTTTCTCTGGTAAAATTCAAAAACTAAAACAAAAAACTAGTAACTGCAAAAAAAAGTATAAACTTTCACCTGGCTGAACAGCATTTCCAGGCCTTATAACATGACCCGTTGCTAAAAAGAGTTTCGAAAATTTTCTTAACCTTAACTTTGTTGAACAAAAAATAAACTGCTTAGAAGAAGGTATCATATTTAAGCATAGATTGATCAAGTACCATAGCTTTTGGTATGGCTTTGTACAGTATACTGTACATTTCAGCATTCATTTTTTAAAATACTCTCAGTATTTGTTGAACTGCTGGTTAATATTGATGAAAAAAACAAAGTGGAAAAACAGGTTGAGGGAATGGAAAAATGACCGCAAGGGTTGGATTGTCTCCACAGAGAAGAGGACGGACAAGTCTGCAGTATCTGGGGCGATCAGGCTGCAAATCAGCGTGGAGATCAAAGGAGAGGAGAAGGTGGCGCCTTACCACGTCCAGTATACCTGTCTCCATGAGGTACAGTACAGTACAGGCGTCCTCTCTGCCTGTTGCCCTTTCAATATATTAATGCTCTCCTGGGAGGCTAGGGTTTGCGGGAACTGTACAGTAGCTGTGAGGAGCTTGTTTGAAACAGTAATGCAAGAAGGAAAATTATATCTATCCCTTTTGTGTTTGAATTTTCCTAGTATAAAACCCCAAGCATGATCCATTTTTCCTGAAGTTTTAGTGCGTAAAAAGAGTTTAAGAACTTTTTTTGCTTTATGTTTTTTTATTAAACTAACGTCTTAGGTTTATTGACGAGATAACTCAGGGCTTCAGTGTCCGTTGTAAACTCAGCATTGCATTTTATAAAATGCTAATTTAAAAAAAATAAATGAAAATGCTATCATCTTATGCACCTTATGCAGGTTTGGCTGACTATTCTGCTTTGTACTGTTGTTTTCATTTGTATTTTATAAGACAACATAAAAACGTCTCTTTAGGCAAAATCCTTTATCAATCTGGTTACTTATAACATCAAGATGAGGCTGCACTTGTATTGTACCATCTTTATCACTTTGTTAACTTGGGTAATTCCTAGAAGTATTCTACAACTGTAAAATGATAACAGGTCACATGGTTCTTTCTTATGTTTCTGTTGTTTATCTGCATTGGGAGGCATCCCAGCATGCATTGCTTGGGAAACGCCTGAGCCAAACTACAAGATAAAGCGCAAGCTCATTATTGAAGGAAAATAGTCTGTTCATGGGCAACTTTGATCGGAACTGTGTCTTCTGTACTTCAGAACCTCTTCCATCACATGACGGATGTACAGGGTGGGGGAGTGGTCAAAATTCCTGATGCCAAAGGAGATGATGCCTGGAAGGTCTACTTTGATGAGGTGGCCCAGGAAATTGTGGATGAGTTTGCAATGCGCTATGGGATAGAGTCCATCTACCAAGCAATGACGTGAGTATGAGCTTTATTTTGAATCATGTCCCATGCAGGTGTAGAACAGGACTTAATGCATTTTTATACAAAAATTCGTATTCTATATTCTGATCGCTTGCAGATTAGAATGGCATATGTTTAGCAATAATATTATTTATGGTACCTGAAAGTTTCCGGTTGTTGCACAAAGCTAAGGTATGTGTATACGTGATCTGACAACTGGAATCAATTTCCTGTCATTAAACTCTGTTTATTTTCAAATGTTGTATTTGCCAAGAGCACAGGTAATATTATTTTAAAATTCATTGCTTTTTTGCCCCGTTGAATGTTGTCATAATAGACTTTTAACACTGAGTCAAAAAGAGAAGTACATATTTTCTAAAACACTATTAAATATACGGAATAAGATTCCCTGTCTTGGCTGCTGTAGTAAAATATCCATTTCACCCCAAGTGACAGGATCTTTCATCATAAGAATGACTCGTACTGACCGATGGGTTGACCTTCTCCCTCGATTTCCACAGCCACTTTGCCTGTCTCTCCTCCAAGTACATGTGTCCAGGTGTGCCAGCTGTGATGAGCACACTTCTTGCCAACATCAACGCCTACTACGCCCACACGACTGCCTCCACCAACGTGTCTGCCTCCGACCGCTTCGCTGCTTCCAACTTTGGGGTACGCTCGTGTTCGAGCGGGCTCTGTGTGCGTGCACCCGGGCCCGCATGCTTGCGAGGGCCTGCCCCTCCAGTCCGGGTTTCTCTCCACTCTCCACGCTTGACGTCTTTTCAGACAGTGCCGCTAACTTTGTCGCGATGGGCTCCAGCTATTCACACCCCGACCAGCGGGCCAACCAATACCCCAGCAGATCTGAAAAACATATACTGATGTTAAGAGCTAGTTCATTCTGTTGGTCAGAAAAAAAGGTTCTGGAAATGCGTTAAATTATTGGAAGTGTCACTGGTTTCTAGAAAAGTATTAATTGGAATTAAGTATGAATCAACTGCTATACAAGATCAAGTCATAACATTCTTTACCTGATTTGATAGTTAATGAGTAGCACCATGTTTTTTTAGTGTATTGCCTATTCTCACATCTCTCTAGTGATAAAGTGGTTATTGACAATAATAAAGTTGAGATTTTTAGTTATGGATTTTCACACTAATGGAGCCCGTGATTAAGTACTCATTTTTAAAGTAAACCATTTTAAAGGCCGTTTTTATGTCAACAATATTTCTTCATTAAGGGCAAATGCTCTCCATTTTTTTAAAAAGGTTTGTAGTGACAGCTCCATATACCAAAGGCTAGACTGAGAATACCATGGGCTGCAGTGATTAATTTCACTCTGGAGAGGATGCAGCAGAAGGGGCTGCTGTGTCATTTAATTGATCATCGCTTCAAATTGTCACTTGAACTTTTTTTTCCTCTCCTGCAATCCATAATATTTATTTTCCTAGTTTGCATTAAGTGGCTCTTAACATTAAGTACATACTGTATCATAGTTTGGCACACTTTGGATAGCCAATATATCTTGCATCTACTGTATGCATGTTTTTGTCCAGATACTTTTTACATTTATGATGAGATCAAATCAAATCACTGTGTGTAAAATCATCTGTATTCCAGTTTGAGTACAGCAACAAAAGTTAATAACTGATAGAAAGCAGGGACTTGTAGGTGGCTGAACGTGTGTCTTGTACCTTTAACATTTTATAGTACAACGCTACATGTGTGTCAGTCTTTTGGCTGTGTGCATTCATAATGCAGTGAAACTGCTTTTAAACAGATCCCTTGAATGTGCATGTGTGTGTTGTGCATGTAGGAAGTCTTCATCAACTTATTGATGAACCTTTCTCTCTGTCCTATGCCCCTTCTCCAAAACCTTACCATCCAACCTTATTAATTACACATGGTTGCAAGGCATTCTGTCACAGCAATCCTTTTATTTCCAAGAATGGTGCTTTTCTGTTTTTGCTTTGATTATTATTTGTCTTCCTCAAACAGAAAGAGCGGTTTGTTAAGCTCTTGGATCAACTTCACAATTCCCTTCGGATCGACCTCTCAATGTACCGGGTAAGTCAGATAGGATAAATAGAGTTCCGACTCACAGATATTGTACTAAAAACTTCCTTGAATTAGTAAGATATATTAAGTCAGAGTGTTACACCATACAGTAACTGTTATGTCAGACCATTAAACCACATAAGGTAAAGTCCATGTGTTACCATGTGTTACTTTGATCAAAAGAGTTTGTCACTGCACAAGTGTGGGAGTAGGGTATAAGAACTGTATAGTACAGTAAGTGTTGTAAGTGACTAATGTTAAGTCACAAGGCAGCAGACCAGCATAATGTTAAAACCTGGGGTTGAAGAGCAAGCTGTTCATCAAAAGCCAGAGAGCAGTCCCAACAGGGCTCCCAAGATCTATCCACTGCTCATAATGACTAGGCTCATATGGTAAATGCTGGTCTGTTGTTTCCCTTTCAGTGGGAGTGTTCAGTGTGTTTGGCAGACTTGTTACTGTACTGTGGTATTTATTTTACACGGTGTTAAGAAATTCAATCTGACAACATTTCATCATTCAAAGACAAGTTATTTCTTACTGTAACTTTTTTATCATTACAAAAATGTGATATTGAGTTCCATTTGCAGACTTGGGAATTTTGTTGTGGTGTTTTGACACCACTTTATTTGATTTTTCTCCCACAGAACAATTTCCCTGCCAGCAGTAAAGAGCGATTACAAGACCTGAAATCCACTGTAGATCTTCTCACCAGCATTACCTTCTTCAGAATGAAGGTAACATGTCTCCTATGTAGCCATTCTGTTTAGCCACCTTCAACTGACTATGCAAGTCCTTCGCTCTCTGAAACTGCTGTTTGGTTAGCAATAGATCCAGCCTCTCCTTGTTTCTCTGCCTGCAGTAACCTGTCCATTCTTCTGTGCCTTCCTGCCTCCAGACTGGAGGAAATTCAGTTTCCACCAGTATAATCAGAATTTCACTGCGGGGCTTAGTCTGCCCCGGAATTGAGAAGAGTACAGGGCCACCCAAGGACTTGGCACAAAGTGCAAAAAGACATGACTTGGAGTGCAAACTGTCACTGCAACACAAAGCTGCACACGTCTGGCTCAAAGTTGCGAATGATGTGTTCTCGGTGTCCTGTGTGAACAGGTACAGGAGCTGCAGAGTCCACCCAGGGCCAGCCAGGTGGTGAGAGACTGTGTGAAGGCCTGTCTTAACTCCACCTATGAGTACATCTTCAACAACTGCCAGGACCTCTACAGCCGCGAGTATCAGACTGACCCTGTGAGTCAGCGGGGCCTGGGGACAGACTGGGACACACACATTCTTTAGTGGGCCCTCTAGTTTCACCTTCAGAGTCCCACTCAAAGTCTGACCCCGCTCTTTTTGTGTTTGTGTGTCCTTTTGACAGAACAAACAGGAGGTGCCCACAGACGAACAGGGCCCCAGCATCAAGAACCTGGACTTCTGGCCCAAACTCATTACCCTCATCGTGTCCATCATTGAGGAGGACAAGAACTCCTACACACCTGTCCTCAATCAGTCAGTATATGTTAACAAACACACAGTGAGAACTGCCAGAGAAAACGACTTGTAGTCTCCCAGTTAGTACGTACAGTGCAGTTGCAGACACTAGGAGAACAAGGGCAATGCCAAAGAGACCTTGCTATTGGCCATAGAGAATACATGTTGTCTGGCAGTGATTTGTAGAAGATGTGACTGATTTAAAAGGACTGAGAACAGTTAATAAGTACCTTCGCAGAAAGAAGCTAGCATGAGTTTCTCCAGAAAGTAAATGTCAACAGAAGCTATGTACTTGTTTAGCGCACCTTGATATCTGTGGTCCTAAAGACCCAATGAATTGCAAATCTTTACAGTATGTTTGTTTTCATGTGCAAAATGAATATCTTTTTAAACTGAAGTACATAGCCCACCAGGGAATGTGCTATGTACAGTACTGTATGTGCTCACTTGGACAAGGGTGCCTGTGGCCCAGTAGCAGAGTAGGTCTTCTCTGTCCTGCCTTTCTCTTTCTCTCACTTTTTTCTCTGCCCCTCTCCCTTTGATAAAGTTTACTCATCTCTGTCTGTTTTACCAGCTCTCCCCCCACCCCTCCTTCTATCCTTTGAACCATCTCTTTTCTCTGACTCTCTGCGTCTCTCTCTCTGTCTCTGCAGGTTCCCTCAGGAGCTCAGTGTGGGCAAGGTGAGCGCAGAGGTGATGTGGTCTCTCTTTGCCTTGGACATGAAGTATGCTATGGAAGGTAGGTGTGCCAGCAGAGTCATATTCCTCCCCCTGCAAGAAAACCCACAGTCATGCACATTTAAGAACTTCAGGCTGGCACCACACTCTGCAGTGTGGCTCCTGAAAGGATGAGAACAAATACACAGCTAACTTTGTGTAAATTATGAAAGAGATTATGCTGATGTAGTTTTGACACTTTTCTACTCAGAATGCTATGGTTTGGGATTTAGCTTGTTGTCAAGAGTCCTGACCAACTTATCTCACCGCACCCACAGTGAGGTGCTGTCAACTGTCCACCTCCACTTGGCAGATCCAAGTCAGCTAGCGACACGACCCAGGCTTGAACCAATGACCACAGACCTCAATCTGCACTGTAGGCAAGGGTCTTTACATGATGAGTCGCTCATCATGACTCATAGGGCTAAAGTAATATACCGTATGTCTCCCAGTACATATTCACTGGTAAAGTCTCATTAAGAATATTGTGTTAAAGAAGAGATGTCACTGCTCTAGTATCCAAAAGGAGCAGCTGGATACATTCTAAGGCTTAAGAGACTGTCCTAGACTGACCGGCTGAGGGAACTGAACAGAGACGACTACGGGGGTACTTGATACAATGTGTTAAAAATCCTCAGATTTTGAAAATTGTCAGACTCAACCCTGCACCTTTCTTCAGAAGAGTACATTTAAAACTGAAAACAGATGGAACAATCTGCCCAGACATGTCATTGAAGCCGATACCCTTTAGTCTTTCAAGCAGCAACAGGATTGGTTTGCTACCAAATGGGTGAGATAGGATGAATGCTCTCCTCTCAAACTTCATGTTCTTACATCAGCCATAAACACAGGATGAACATGATGGCCTAACTAAAATCTGAAATGTGTAGATTCAGGCCTTCCTTTATCAACGATGTTCCACATTATTAGTAATGGTGCCCTTTCGCCACATTTTTAAAACTTTCTTCATCTCTTTCAGTGTCTTTTCATTTGTTAATGCAAAAATCATTTTTACCCTTGGTTTTATTGGGTCAACTGACTGTGCTTGTTTCTCTTTGTTTTTACAACTGCTATGAGAATTACACATGCTGTTGTGCAGTGCTTTGAGTTTTTTGGCAAGCGTTTCTAAATAAAATGTATTTTTATTATTACATTTTTAAATTAAACTGTTCTTCAATGCATTTGTGGGATCAGAGCAACCTTTGAGATTCCTATTCGACGCCTGTGGTCTGCTTTGCAACCGTTACTCCATACAGTAGGCTTTATTCGTGCTCAGCTTCTGTTATCACAGATGCGAAGAAAAAAGCACAAATCCTGGGGGTGGGCTGGAGAGCTTTCCAGGTAAAGTCGGGATTGTGTTTGAAAATTGGAAAATCTCCGGTGCATCAGGGAGCTGGTTTGATCACTCCATCACCGCTGTCGGCTGTGTCTGTGGCAGCTTGCTCAGCGCTCTCTGGGTCATCCATCATGCCCTGTTTTCACTCCTGTCTGTCGCCTCATGTTTTATTTTTCAGTTCTGGATAAAATCAGTTCTTGTCACTGGCTTAGTGGTAAGGGTGTTTGTTGAAGAATAGAGCTACCTTTAGTGGAGTAGACCTATGTTTCTATAGAATAGCTTGACTAGAGCCCCTAAAAAGTATTACTCTAGTATTTCAGATTGATGTATTAGGTTATTAGATTAAGGGTACATGGTGGAGAACGAAATTCAGGCCAGAGAGACAGCTGTGAAAAAACAAAACACATGGTTTTATTATTATTATTATTATTATTATTATTATTATTATTATTATTATTATTATTATTATAGCTCTAACTGAAATATAAATGAGGAAAGCTTTAAAAATAAGGCTATTTTTAGTTCTATAATTTCTGTTGGGCGATGTTGGTTACGGGAAATTGAATCTTACAGATAAACGTCTTTAATCACTAGAAATTAAATATACGTAAATAATGAAATAACAGATATCTGCTGTATTACACATGTGAGAAGAAACCAAATGAGCTATTCTGCAGCAGGAGTAAAGGGCTCAGTTAATTTATTGTTCACAGCAGGCTCCTACAGCGTCTCAACCACGTACCATGTTGTGAGGCAGGAGTGTCCTTCTACTAGAAAACTATAATTGCAGTGAAATCTGCAGGCACAAGTGGTAACTGAATAGTAGAATCTGTAGATAATGTTAGTTCGCTAGTCATGATAGAAGGTAGTATCGAAATACTGCTGTTGCACTTTACTAATTTTCCTCGCATTTTCATAGTTTTCTTGCCTCTTTTTGCAATTATCATTGTGTTTCTTTCCTGCTGTCTGCCAACCCCTCTCTTCTGGCTGTTCACATTTCCATTCCAGCTCCTGCAGTATTCCGCGTCCGCAAAGTCCACTTCTATGGCGGTAAGAGGCACTAACCATCCCAGCACACTACTCCCATTGGTCCAGGTCCCCACTGACCACTCCCCTTTGCTCTCAGTCATGACATCACACATGATCCCTCAGCAGACTCTTGTCCTTGTACTTCAGACATCCAAGGCAAGATCTGCCAGGTAGCCCGCTAGAAGTCCATCAGCCAAGCTTGAGCAGATTGAGTGTCTTTTCATGCTGGACACCATCTCAAAAAGCGCACTCTAATGAGTCGTGTGTATCTGTAAATGGTGGCTTAAAAGTTCTAAAGTAAAATAATCAGTAGCAAGGTTAAGCAAATAGTCATTTTATTTCAGAAGATTTTGCTATCTGTGAAGCACTGTCTCTTGACAAACATTTCATATACTCTTGACTTAAGCATTTTGCTTAAGATCTCTGAATTCTGATATTTTACTCCAGCCTAATCACAAGAAACACCACTTTTTTTGAAGGCCACAGGTAAAATACAAGAGACCATTTCTTGTTTACGGGGGCAAATGACTTTTTGATTTTTTATTTTTGCCGAGACCCTTGTTTCTTGTGAAAAGATTTACTGACAGGGAAAGGTGAACAGGGTCTGAGGTATCTCCACAGAGAACAGTAAGATATGCTGAATGTGGTGTATTTGAATACCCTATTCATATTTTGGCTTATACTCTTTTTCATGATTGATCTTTACACCAATGCATTCTGAAGTATCCTGTCATTAGAAACTGGAGACAATAAAACCCTAAAGTTTAGAAAGTTTGGGTACTCTACTTGAAAAAAAGAACATGAATCCCAAAGCTATGTCAGTTTTTTTTTTAATATACTTACCACCTTCATAACTATTTTCTAACAGGTTAATGCAGTGGATGCAATTCACTGTAGGCTTTTAATAATGCCTTCCATGTTTGAATTGTGTATCACAAAGAATGTCCTCTTACAATGAGATTTGTAGATTTGTCTGTTCCCACTAGTAGATTGACCAGAAAATCGGCTTGTTGTTCTGATGAGAGCATTACAAATACAAATAGCTATTTCCAGAGATTGAGTTTATCCTCGTTCCCCAGTTGATTTGTCCGTGAAAAACACACTTTTGTCGTTTGTATATTGGATATGGTGTTTTGGGAATGTGGACAACAAGGATAATGATGTCACGGCAGGCTCTTCTGTAACTCTTTAAGCCAATGTCATATGAGAAGGTGTCACGTTAGATAAGAGATACAGTACGTCTGGAGAGTGTGGCCCTTCTATCGTGCCACACTGGGAGATTTCTGTTGTAAAAGCTGCTGACAGGCATGCGAAACCCCTCGGAGCCTTGATGTCTTCAGCTTTAAGAGTTTGGCTTGGGCTAAGGCGTTACAAATGGTGCTGCGACGCAGGCGAATGGGATAAGTTTGAAAGGCCTCTCGTTGGGAGCAGAATTTGCAGCACATCTACAAGAAAGGAACAGGCAGCTTTCTGCGGCACTGGCCAGGCATCTGTCTTCTTTCTTTCTGTTTATCTTTCCCTGCCTGTCACTTGCTACTCGCTCCTTCTCGCCTCATCCTCTGTTCACTGATGTGGGTTATTAAAAGCAGCAGCTCCTGGCTCTTCTCTCCCACTTCCAGCACAGCGCTGGCTGCCTTGGCAACTCTTTCACAGAATAATCAGAAAATCCAGCAACAGGGAGATCTGAGTAACTGGTATTTTTCCGGTTGGTAATTCAGAGATTTTTCTGAAGACGTGAAATGTCATGGAATACACTTTTAGCTGTATGGGATTGTGAAGTTATTTTTTTTTTCTCATTGCATTTACATTCGATAAAATAAATTACCTTCTTTATGAGCTGATGCATTAACTCTTTGCTTTCTTAATAAAATATACATCCAAATGGTTGTACTATGAATTTATTGCATATATAGTTTATTAAAATCATTAATGTAATCTAGCAATCCCTCTCTGGTTTTCTTGACTTTATTTTTCTTTTTTACTGTATTTCTTAAGCTTGCCATCACGGTGAGGTGTTTTAACACCCTTGTAGAGCTTCAGTAAATAGATACTGGAACCAGTTCAATCAGTTCCCTTGCAAATAGAAAGTTATCTTCTATTCTACAGTATATGCAAACAATTCAAGCAATAACATACAATTGGGGTGGTAATAAGCAAGACCACTGTGAATTAAACCCTCTGGTATCTGCTAAAGACCAGCCCAGTTAAACACCCAAGAAGAGGGCAAATGTTTAATGGAGAATTTTAACCTGAACTATGTTGAAACTGTTTTAACTCTTTTTTTTATTGATGTATCTTTACATTGAAAATCATTTTTTAAAGTTTATTTTAAAACCAAAGACAAAAACCTGGTCAGCAAAGAATGGTTTAATGCCAACATTTTTTCCATGAGGACAGTACATCTTAATCTGCTGGTGGAAGCTTATCACTGAACACACATCTGTGAGCTCTTCCAGTAGATGATACTGCTCTCATGTTCAGCACAGCTCATGGCCAGAGGACATCCATATTGGATTTTCTGGAATTAAAGTAAATCCCTGTATTTGTAATCAAACCAGCTAGAAAAACACAATGTGCAAATGTCTGTATTTGTACTATTGTTGGCTATGCTAATCTCCCCACTGCCTCTTGTTATAAGAGTGGGCAGTGCTTGGCACAGCTTTGGAAGGAACTGCTGTTCCACTACAGACACTGCCTTGTGTTCTGAGCTGATAGGTCATATTTATTGTAACCCAGATCCTCTGGGTCACTAGGGTGCGTGCAACAATTTTGACTGGCTGAATTCCCCCGTCACAAAGACTAACAGACCTGTTCAGAGGGTTTCTGCTTGATGTGCTGAAAAAATACTCTCCACATGTTTCGATTCCTGCTTTATTCTTTGGTGTGAATCATTTCTGTTCCTTTCTTTGTCTTATTTGGTCTCATTAAAAAGTCCTTGTACTGCTTATTAAGTAGACCGTCATCCTAATCGGGTCAGTATACAGAAGGGTAATTTTACAACTTTTGTTTTCTTTATTACATTCCTAAAATCACAAAAGCATCAGTTTTGCACTTGAAGACAGTTGTAGCCGGTCAAATCGTGGGTTATTTTAATCCCATTGGAGATTAAATTTTTGGCGTCGCTCTCTGGTAGAATAAAACACAGAAGGTTAGCGTTTCCCGCGCTAGTGGTTTCCTTGGAAGGCCCTGGCTTTTCTGCTTTCTAATCTTTCTATTTTCATATTTGTATAAGAATATTTGCTACACATTGGGAGAATTTAGAAAGTGTTACCTACAAGCAGATTTTATGTTCCCCCCGGGAATGCCTTCCCATAATCGGTACAAGTGTACGCACTGTATGAGGTGGCACAGACAGCACCCGGGCCTCTCTTTCCCATTGAAACAGGTTCATCAGAGAGCAGCTGTGCTGTGCATGTCCGCTCATGTTCACGTCTCTTCATGGTGTTTTTTTTTCCCAGAGCACGAGAAGCAACGCCTGTGTAAGAGTGCAGATTACATGAACCTGCATTTCAAGGTGAAGTGGCTATACAATGAATACGTCAAGGAGCTGCCTGCCCTTAAGGGCAGCGTACCAGAGTATCCGGCGTGAGTAGCTCTCCTCCAGTGTCTTGTTGTAGTTGTCCCTAAAAGAAAACATTCTCCACTGTAGCACCAGTAATGGACAGAAAATACCTGCTTTACCCTCGCATTGTTTAGCAGTATTTTACTGGTTGTAGTTTTCCATTGGATGACCTTATGTGTTACTATAAAACTTTCTTCGTAGTAGCCTCTCCCTTGGATTGCCTGTGAAAAAATATTTGGGCAATTTGTAACTGTTAGATTTGTACATTAAAGTACTGTATGTGCCTTTGGATGGATGACAAAACCTCTCCTTGTGTGTGTATGTGTGTTCATTTTAATCAATCCAATGTGAACAGGATGTCTCCGGTAACATGTAGGTGTGAGTGAAGCTACAGAACTGTTGGCATCTGTCTCACTTTGTCAGCCTGTCTGTGCCTGATTAAACCTGTTCATAGTCTCTGCTTCTTTGTTGACTGAGTGTCCCCCCGATCTGCAGGTGGTTCGAGCAGTTTGTATTGCAGTGGCTGGATGAGAATGAGGAGGTATCTCTGGAGTTCCTGCATGGTGCCCTGGAGAGGGACAAGAAGGATGGCGTGAGTTTAACAATTGGTTATTTTATTAAACTGAAGAATCTCATTTTAATAGCGCGATCACTTCTTTGTGGTTGTCCTTTTTTACATGCATTTTTTACTTGGCTGAAATACCTTTTACCGTATCTGGCCATGACTGAGGAAAAACAAATCCCTCATGCTTTGTGCTGCACTGACCCCACCCTGCCTCTCTCAGTTCCAGCAGACCTCCGAACATGCTCTGTTCTCCTGCTCAGTGGTGGATGTGTTCACCCAGCTCAACCAGAGCTTTGAGATCATCAAGAAACTGGAGTGCCCTGATCCTACCATTGTGGGCCATTACAACAGACGCTTCGCCAAGGTGTGTGGGTGTAGTTCATGCAACAGCCCTGTCCAGGAGCATCCTTATATTAAATGAAGACAGCACTATCAGTTGTTGTTTAATTTTACTTTGAATTATAAGTGGTGGATGTAACTTTATATCTGAATATACATTATCGTTATCTTAACATACCTGTATGATATAAAATCTGCCCTGTTTTACTCACTTGAGTTACCTACCCAGGGTAATGAATAGATTTCCATCGTAGTTCAGGAATTCTGTGGCTAGTTTGCTAAATGAAAATTCTCTGTATGACCTCTTAATCCCCATCCTCTTGGACATATTATTTGAGAAGGACTTACAGTAGAAACATTTTATTTTTGCTCTTTCACAGTACCTTAAAAAAATCACAAATTAGAATTCCAAACAAGCAAAACTTAAATTCAAATGCGTGTCCAAACGTATTCTCCACTTCACAGTCCATTGCAGGAGATCATTATGCAGTGGTACAGGGCTTGTGCTGTGATGTTATTACCACACAGTATAGACATTTCTTCTATAAATTCTTGCTTTTTGTATGGTTCAGCTTGACTTGGTTCTTTAATCTGCCCTATTACATAAGCTTTAAGAGAAATAATTTGGAAAGTCACAGAGATGATGGAAGGGAAATATTCTGAGAGAGCAAATTAGCGTGGCCTCATGCTGTGAGAGAACTGGCCTAGCATTACAACACTGCTAGTGATTTCAACCACTTTCTTACTCCATATTACTGTATACCTACCCATAGTCACAATATGTAGCTGTCGAAATAACAGCACTAGAGAAATTAGCCCTGGAAGGGAGGTTTATACAGTATAGTTCAAAATCAGTTAAATCAATAATAAAAACTGGTGTTCTCTGCTTCTCCATATCCCTGAGGTCATACCACTCTATGTAGTAATTAGTGTTAAAAAACAGATAATTTTTCATCAAAAGACAAATTTCGAAACTTAGCCATATGAAATATTAATTTGTCAGAGATAGTCATCATATTTATTTTCAGCTGTTAAGAGCCAGGCATAAAGCAGAGATCAGGATTGTGAGGTAATGTGGTCTGTTGGTGACATTTAATCATTCACATTCACATTTAATCATTTCACACTGCGATTAATGGTAGGATCTGAAGTTGAAGAGGATGTAACAGATTGAAAAAGCTACTTATTTTTTTTGCCCAACCTTACTGGAACTTTTAGTTTTATTTTAGAGACCTCTTTCTGTACTGTACTGTACCCAGTGTACTGTGACATCAAAAAACAATCATTTTGGAAAAAATACGGACTTTATCATCTGATTTACAAAGGTTTTACAAAGGTTTCAGGTTGTATTGCAGTTATGTATTTGTCATCCTGAATTATGGTGATGTCAATATCGCAGTCCATCCATAACTCCCAGCCTTAAATAATGCTGCTTGTTGTAATTCTCAGCATTTAAAGGTTTGGAGTTTTAAATTATGGGTGTACTTTCTGTTGACCTCCATCAAGATAAACAAATAATTGGTTGGATTTGAGAGGAAGATATTCTCTTACATCCTATAAATACTGTGTGGCTGTTTGTAGTTTATATATCCAGAAGCATTTTGTGATTTGTCCTTGAGGAACTTTGAATCACAGAGCTGTGATTGTTTTCTTGTCTTTTTGATCTTAGGTGTGCTTAAAATGAAATTATTCTGGCTCTTCACTCAGCATAGCCTTTATTCTTCTTGTAGATACGTGAGGCAGCACCCAAACATACATGAAAAAGCATAAATCCAGGAGACTTTAGGTATTCCAAAGGGATTCTCTCTCCAGAAGAGGAAACCATTCATCTGTGGACCGAGAGATTAGTTACTAAACTGTTTGAAGTGATAACCTCTTCCTTGCTTAGGTCTAGTGGTGACACTTATGTTTAAAGATATAGTAGTTAGTAGAAAATACATTTTTTGTTTGGTTTTTAAGGCATGTGCCTACCTACAGACAATGATTTTGTTTTATCGACAGACCATCGCTAAAGTGTTGATGCAGTATGCTGATATTGTGACCAAAAGCTTCCAGACCTACTGTTTCAAGGAGAAAATAGTAAGTGCATTGGCATGAAGTGATTATATCTGTGCCTTTTAACCAATTTCCCAATATAAATGTATAGTGACTTCATGGGTAGAGAGTCTGATAAAGACAAACAAATATAGCAGGTAGCATGTGTAATTTTATTGAAGTAGGAACCTGAAAACTCTTTGATTCACATAAGAAGAAATAACAGATCCGCCTATAATCCTTGTTAAAGATATATCTAAATTACAAGCAACGATAATATGAGAAATTAGCTTCTCTTTTTTGTGCTGTTTGCTAGTAGCTTATTAATATTATTGATTCACATTCCCACTATCCCATTCCCAGAGAATCAACCTCCACAAAATGGAGCAAACACCACCAGCTTTTCATTTAATGATGTGCTTTCTGTCCTCAGTGCTGAATCTGACAGTTTTGTACCCACTGGTTATGCATAGTGTGTGTAATTCTAAATGATCATTTTGTAAATCCCACTCTTCCGAGTTTGAAAGCTTCAGTCAGCGCTCTTTGATGTTTCGGATCCATCAAACCATCATTTCTGGATGGAGGGAAATGTCTGCAGGTTGCAGCTTAAGTTTTCTATGAGATTATAATATTATATGGTTTCTGCTTTCTAGAAAAGCTGTGCATCCGTTTTATTTTCATATTTTATGGGGGTTAAACTGCACTGCCTCAAATGCCTGCAATATGGAGGACAGGTGAAAACTTGCTGTGATGTAGTAGGACTCTATGAAAACTGTGGGCTGTTGAGCTGTGTGTCCTCCAGTGTGCCAGGGGCTAAGTCCGAGCCTGGTCAGTAACACTGCAGTATCTGTCTCTCTCCCTCCCTCCAGCCCTGCATTCTAATGAACAACATTCAGCAGCTACGTGTCCAGCTGGAGAAGATGTTTGAAGCCATGGGCGCCAAGCAGGTGAGTGGAAAGAAAAGAGGGAAGTGGTGCCTTTGAGGCTGAAACAAACATGACCAAAATGCGCTGTCCATACAACTGAATGCTTACAACGAAACTTCTTAAAGTGGAACATCTGTTACTGTACATTGCAGATGGGTCCAATTCTTACTCTTCCGTGCAGTTTCTACAGCAGCGGCCCTCTGTTAAAGAGTGCTCCTTCTGAACAGAAGTGTCTCTGCTCTTCCTCACGACAGCCCTGCCTGACTAACCTGACAGATACGGTAGCAGCTCAATGACATTCTGTCAGAGCCTGTAGCCGGGGTACAAGCTGATGTCATATCTGTGGGAGGAAAGACCTGGAGCAGTTATGGACTGTATGTTCTTAATCAAGAGTCAGGTCCTACAGGACTTTCCTACCCTTGGCACAATGATCATAGATGACATTAACTCAGCTTAATTGTCAGCATAGGTGAGGAAGTAGCTTGATCTGAAGGGTATTGTACACTAGATCTGTTCCTGCATTCAATTTGAACTTACAATATGCAATTATAATGTGACAATCAGTTGAACAAGTATATACATTTCCTTTCGTACTTTAAACAATCACAAGTTAGACAGAACTGCCAGAAACTCCTAGTTTACTCACAGCAATATGCTGCTTATTACGTGTATTTGCAGTATATAGGAAAGACTTTTGATCAAACATCATGGGATCAGGGATTAGTGTTAAAGGTGTCTCAAAATTACAGTTGCAAGAAAAAGTTTGTGAACCCTTTGGAATTACCTTGAATTCTGCCTTAATTACTCATAAAAATGTGGTCTGATCTTCAGCTAAGTCACAATAATAGACAAACACAATCTGCTTAAACTAATAACACACAAACCATTGTACTTCTT